TAAACATCTGTATGAATAATATTCTCCCAGTATAAATCGCTACGTATTTGTGCAACAGTCACATTAGAGACTTGAGAAGTCTCATTTCCGTCTTCATGTTTCCTGGAAAACTCCATACAAGAAAACACAGTATTCACTTTACATAATTACAAAAAGTCTGGGAACTCAATATTTAGTTTTGTTTACAGTTTAACATCCTCCTCGTTGGCTAGAGACCATAACATTATTGTGTATGTGATAGACTGGAAATTTTGATGTGATGTGTAATTTTCTTTTCTACTTCCCTTTTTGAAAAAATAGAGAAGAGGGAACGGCATACGTTACCCACTCACAAATGGTTAATGCTGGGGAGGCCCATGGTAGCCACTTACCAGCAGTGAAATTGTAGAAAGGAGGAAGGTGACCCAACTAACGAAATAGAAGAAGAAATATCAGAGGAAACTAAGAAAGAAGAAATGAAGTATCAATATAATTTATCAAAAGCAAAACTCATGCTTTTAAAGGGAGACCAGGCAGATGATTAGTTAAGGCATCAGAGAACATCATTCAGAGAAATCCCTGTGTTTAAATGATCTATTTTGTCCTCAGTTTCACCCTTCCATCTCAGGGAGAAGCCAGGTTGCAGGGAAGTCTCTGCCTAGTCTCCGGTGTGCTCCAGAGATGTGATTTTGATGTGTCCAGACCCACCTGGGTGAACTTTAAGGCTGACGTCCTGGCTGAACTCAAATACACACTGGCTGCCATCACGTGCACTAGAAGCGCATGTCCCTGCGCTGGGCAGAGCTGCACGGCCCGAGCTCACCCCCACTGGCAGCCAAGCCAGCCAGGTTTGGGTGGATTCAAGCAAGCGGGGGCAGGCAGGGATGCTGGAGCCCCCACGACCCCTCATCTGGGCACCGCAGGGATGGGGGACGTGGGTGCCCTGGCTGCTCCTGGCTCCCGTCTCTTTTGCACGGGCAGAGGTGCATCAAGCCACAGCCCTATTGCTGTCCCCAGCAACCTGCTGCCCACGGCACGGCTCTTTGCCGGTGCCTGGAGCAGGCACACGACCGACACGCAACTCCCACACTGACTCGCTCCAGCTCCCTGCGCCCAAAGAAACCACAGCCCCAATCCTGCCCCACTTTTTTTCTGTGATGAGCTTAAACGCAACCAAATATCTAAAGGCAAACCATCAGATGGCTTTGATTCCCTGGCAGGCTTCCTGCTCAGGCACAGGGATGTGCTCCGAAGCCGATTTTCAGTTCATCGTCTTGCAGCACCCCGGTGAGGGGAAGCGTGCTCGTCCCTCCTTGAACGTGGGACAAGAGGAAAGAACTTTTAACAGCTTTTCCCCGTCCTTTCACACTGTGCTACGCTGGAGTGCGAAGCAGCCCCACTGCTTGTTTTTCATAAGCTGTTTGCTGCCGAATTTAGGATTGTCTACTTAAAAGTCTCCAGCCGGAGCTGTAAAACCCACAGCTGTGTTTTGCAGATGAGAGTCTTGGGTTGGTTTCAGATCTTGTTTTTGGAAAGGCCGCCGCGATCCTGAGCAAAGGCACGAGTCCATCCTTTAGAGTAGCGAACCATGAGAGCCGTGGTCCTCCTTCAGAGCTCTTGAAGGACAGAAGTCTTTCTCTGTTAATTTGGGATCTGCAGACTGAAAAAAGCACCTCTTGTGTTTAAAGCACCTCTTGTGTTTAACCCTTCCATTTCTTCAGTCTGTCTAGGTTTCTATCACCAACATAGTTTAAAAAAAAAATAGAAGGCACTATCAAAAAAACCATCCTGAAAAGCCCTTTCAGGTGCAGTTACTTGGGGGTTCATCCTCCTGCTTCCACCAAAGCTGCTTTTTGGGATGACAGAGAGGATTTTTAAAGGGTGTCCACGTGCTGCATGCAGCCTCAATGGGGCACTTTCCTGCTAGGAATAAATCATTGCTTTCCATTTTTGAATCAAGGCTTCACATCCGGATGTTTCCCCATTAATATGTTGGAGGGAGGAAGTTGAAATTGAGAACAGAGAGTGCAATTGGGGAAGAAATAACAAATATGGACTTTTATGTGTAGCTGCTGTGGTCTGGTACAGGGGGACCGTGCCCGTGCTTGGGGGTGAACGTGTGCCAGGGGCTGCCCGTACATGAGAAACTGCTGCTGCCACCGGATCAGTGGAGCACTTTTCCCTCTTCCCCCAAACCGGACCCTCTAGAAGATTTTTTGGGAAGTCACTTGATTCACCTTGTGCTTCAGGTCCCTATTTCTAATGCAAGAACTCTCAATTCCAAAAGCAGGGTGGACTATAAGGAGAAAAATAGATGGAAAATAAGGGGAAAATAAAGAGACTGAAGCATGGTTCCTAAAGAGCTGAGGATCCACTAAGTCAGTGGTGAGGCTGAGTAAGATCAAGTGCTAGATGCAGAGCCGCACTGCAGACACCATCCTGGTGCAGAGCTCCTCGTGCCGCTCTGGCTCTCCCCAGGATGAAGCTGCCTTGACATCAGCATCTTGTAGCTGTATCTGCATCAGGGGACAGCGTAGCTGCATCGGTGTGAATGACTTTGCTGGAGAAGGGTCCAAGTTTCTATAGATTGGGGCCAAAAAGAAATGAGATGAGCAGGGCACCCAAGCACTAAACAGCAAAGGTGGTGGAAACTAGGGGCCTGGGTGAGGAATCATTAGCTCTAGCTGCTCAAGACTCTAGTAATTATATCTGCTCCCAGATCACGCTGGAGCACAGCTCCACGCAGGAGAGTCTTTGCTTGAGAGGAGATTTGGAAGGACATTTGCTCCAAGGACAAAGCAATTTGAGCAGGGATTTGCACAGGGATTTGAACACCACTGTGGCGAACACTGACCTTAATGCAACAGCCAGAGGCACTGGTAGCACATCTGAAAAATTTCCAAGGGTGATTGGAGTATTGCAATAATTTCCAGTTGGTGCCTATCTTCAATCCACCTCTTGCACGAAGTCCCCACCGAGGTAGAGCAGCTGAGCCGCTTTGGCCTCGGGTGTATTCACACTGGGTCACATTTTGGCTCTCTAGAGCCCAGGTGAGCTATAGGCTTTCAGGCAGGAAAAGACAATGTTGATAACATCTGCTCTCCTGACCTGCCCTGGCCAAGAACCTCCCCTGGTGATTTCTCCTAGCAGCTCCTCTGCTCCAGCTGCTTTCTTTTAGAGAGCTGGCAATGGCTCTAGGCTCAGTTTTACTTCTAGGCAGGAGTGATCATCTGCACAATTACCGGAGGGGTTAAAAAAAGTTAAACAGCAGTGCTGCAGAAGAGCGACTCCATGTGTCAGCATGACACTGACTGCAGTCTGCAAGGCATCAGAAACTCTTCAGCAGCAGCCAGGGCCCCAGATACGTAAATACAGCAGGAGAGAAGAAAGAGAGCAAGTGGTTTGGGCTGCCTGCAGGGACAAGAAGCAGTAAGTGAACATTCAGCTCAGTTTTTCCTCGCTGTAATACAAGAGAAACACCCTGGCAGGGGATGATGAAGCTCTGAGCCAGATGGTATCACAAGGGTGTGGAACCCTCCTCCTCTTCCTCCCTTGAGCTTTTGGGGCAGATTGAATAGACCTTGGCCAGGAATGCTGTAGGTCAAGTCAGCATTGCCTGGGGCTGTGGGACAGCCTGGGTGTTTTCTCAAGGTTACCTGCAGCTCTTTCTTCTACAAGAGCTAGGACTTTCCTCTAGGAGTTGACCCCAGATCCATGAATTGGAGCAAACCATATTCAACCAAAAGAATCAGGGCTGCTAGAACAAGGGTTGGGGCAAGCTGAAGCCTCTCAGCATAGGGATGACGATGAGGCAGTGCATCACATGCAGCAGAGACAGCATTTGGGGCATCAAAACTCAACCTTCTCCAGGGCAGCAGCTCCTGAACCCTCAGTCCTTGGGCAGGACTTGCCCCTTGAAGGCAACCGTTATCCTGATATTTACTATGGCAGCAGCCAAAGGCCATCGGTAGGTGACAGTCCACCATGCTACACAGCTCTAGATACACACAGGAGAATGGAGAGAGCAAACAGGAGCAGCTTGGGGACACAGGCAGAGCTACCACCAGCCATAACCATGAGCTGCTTTACGCCAGTGACACCCGCTACCGTGTCTGCCACCACATGGTCCAGCAAGTCCCCCCAAATGCTGATGGTGGCCCACCAGCCGAGGCAGCCGCAGGTGGTGGCTCAGAGGCAGGCAGACCTGTCAGCACCTCCCACTGCAAACCCACTGAAGAGGCATTTCACAACCTTCAGCTCATGCCAGCATCACGAGGTGACGAGGGCCAGATCCCTCTGGAAGGATCCGTCCCTTTTCCAGCCTCCTGCCCCCTCCAGCCTCAACAGCCGGAAAGGCTGATGCAGGGAGGTTGTTCCAGTACTGCCAGGAGCTGGTGGCACTTAGCTGGGACTGAGAACCCCTACACGGGAAGGCGGGTGGCCAGGCACTGCCAGGCACCCCAACCATCCCCATGGCTGGATTTGAAGCTGCGGGCAGGAGGTGGAGAACCTGGAGACATCCCTGTGCCTGGGGAGACCGGCATGTGAAAGGGCTACATGGAGAGCCTGGAAACAAGTCACTCAGTGCCACCACCTAACGCAGCATCTCCAGGGGATGCTGCTGCTCTCCAAGCTTGACATTCCAGGAGTTGGAATAATGATCACCTTTCCTCCTCTCCCCTTTCTCGGCCAAATCTGGTGCAAAGCGGTGTCCAGCTGCCCAACAGCCCCCGGGCAGCCTGGGCTGTCGGAGCAAAGAAGCTTCTCTGGCCGGGCAGCGCCCTTTGGACCTCCGGGGACCATTCGCCCGCCGACAGGGCTGCCCCACAAATATTTATCAAGGTGCGTGTGTGCGAGCACCCTCCCTCCTGCACCCCTTCCTGGGGCACGCAGCCAACCAGACCCACGGTGGTCCAAGCCCAGCTGCTGCTCTCAGTGCTGGCAGCTGCCAGCCCAGGTAGGAGGCTCCATTAAACAATGCTAATAAATACTTTATTTACCAAAACCACATTAAAATACACCTAAGACTGTCCCATCTTGCCATGTCCCTTCAGTAGCGGCTCACAGCTTGAGGATCCTGGAGGAGGCTTGGAGAGTTCACGCAGCAGCACCAGCTTCATGGCCAGCAGGACTTCCCGGTGGCCTAGGTGGCTTCTTCTGCCGCAGCGGGAGAGCCGGGCAGCTTCCAGCGCCACGTCCCTGAGCAGCCGGGGGCTGCCCAGCCAGGCAAGGGTGGCAGCCACGAGGCAGGAGGCTCCAGTGGACCACGTCTGCAGGGAGAGCAACCATCAGAACATCAGCACAGCCATCCGTGAGATGGCATGGCTCAAGGAGCTGCCTGCAGGCACGGGTCAGGCAAAGCTCCCCCAGCCCCATCCACCACACCTCCATTTTAAGTCAAAAACTTCCAGATTCAGCTAACACGTGAGCATCCAGGCTTGGATACGCAGATGACCAAGATGAACTTGGAAAGCAGGTGGTTGCACCCAAGACCAGTCAGGACATACCTGGTTTAGGAGCTTGTGGATGTAGGTGGAATAAGCCACCTTCTTCTTCTGCCTGCGGGGACGGAGGCAGAGGAGGCTTTGCCAGGCACGCCCAGTCGCTGCCTTCTTCCTCGGGAGGGCGGGGGGGCCAGGATCCATCACTGCTGCTGCTGCCCACACACAATGCTGGTTTAACACGCGCTTGCTGCAGCCCTGACACCTCTCTGCTGAGAGGGAGCAGAGCGCGAGCCCCAGCAGCAGGACGCTGCCTTCACACCGGGCACCCCCACCTTTCCCTGCAGTCCCCAGGGCACTTGCAGGCATTTCATTAGCATATGCAAATTAGGCACTTGCAATAACAAAAAATATTCAGCATGTTGCATAAAACAAAACCAGAAAACATCCTCCCACAGAGCCAAACGCACCAGAAAAGCAGAGCACAAATAAGGTGTTTTGGGGTATTTCTTTTCACCTCCAAGAGCTCCCCCAGCCCCGTCCTCCCCCAGGAGCAGGCTGGAGCCGCTGCCTATAACCAGGGGGGCTCATTGCTTTCAGGTGGGGGCTGCAGCCCACCGGGACCCACCGGGCTGCGGGGAGAGGGATGGGGACAAGGACAGGGACAGGCATGGCCACGCCGCCTCGCACCCGCACCCCCCGGCTCCTACACCCAAACCAGCAATACTCACCCAAAAATGCTCTTTCGGGTGAGGCTGTGCCTGCTCCCAGGTCCCCCCCTGCCCTTGTTGCCCTAATTAGTGTCATTAATCTCATTAGCCCGAGGCGGCTGGTTCTGTGGTGGTACCAGACCTCGGGGCGCCCTGCTGTTCCTGTGGGATTTTTTGCATGGTTTTATTCTGTATTTATTTGGGGGATTTGGGGGGTTCTGTAAGTGCCAGTGAGCAGGGCCTGGGAGGGCACCCAGGGGTGCTGGGGGCAGGATCTGGCCCTGCATGGTGGGGTCCTGGGGTGGCTGGGTGTCCCCTGATTTGCAGGATCTAGCCCTGTCCACTGGGATCCCAGGGTGGGGGGTTCCCCTGGGTGCAGGATCTGGCCCTGCACTTTGGGGTGGGGGTTCCCCTGGGTGCAGGATCTGCCCGATGGGGTCCTGGGGTGGGGGTTCCCCTGGGTGCAGGATCTGCCCGACGGGGTCCTGGGGT